TCAGCTAGAATTCGGTTTGCCTGAGCTTGTATCATTGGTACCTTCACAGACCTCCTTCCTGAAATTCTTGTAGAGCATGTCGGCATACGGTGTCGAAACATCCAGGACACAGGCGCCCTTTGGTAGGTTGCAGGCAGCCCAGTATGATTAGCCTGTGAAAGCGGGCGATGGCGACGGTGAGCATGGGCAGAAGGCCGCTGGGCGCTGCCCTCTGATTGGTGGAGCGGACAGACCATTGCGTGCCCGCACAAGCAGCACGTTCTGAATTACAACCGCTGTGGGCACCCTGTGGCCTTCTGTCCACGTATATGAAACACCAAGAACCCTGCAAAATGCGAAGGTCGTGAAGGTGGAGGAGCTCGTGCGTTGGGTCGGATGAGGTACGTTCTCATTCGTACTCCGCCCACTGGCCGCTACTCTCACTGACACTTGAAGATCTCATGCCAGCCTTGAAACTTCGTGCACCTGTGTTAAGCCACATGCAATCTGCCTTCATTGTAGTCATTGTCAAGTTAAGCAGGTAGTACACGTACACAGTCTTAGTAGAAGTATACAAATACGATTTGTAGCTGTTTTATATGAGTGTGATTGAGCCAATATGTCCGTCTTACCCATAAGCATGCCGCATTGAGCTTGTCTTGGTTGACTGTCTTGAGAGTCTTGGCCAAGACCAGGCGTCTTCCCAAGACAAACGACATAGCTTGGCTAACACCGGATGTCTTGGGGTCTTGGGCGTCTTGAGCATGTTATCCAAGACGCTCAAGACGCTCCCCAAGAGCTGGCGGTTTTGCTGATGACCCTCTGTTATCAGTATAGTGCAGTGAAACGCGGCGATGTTACCGCTGAGCAGACTTTTCGGTATCACGAGTGTGCAAGTTTACGTCTACTTTCACCGAAATCCTCGCGATAGTGACCTAATGAGACGAACGGTAAGTGCCCTCTCTGGTGGCTGCAGCTATTTGTGCTCATCGATGGCCGCAGATATTCTTCCTATGGTATATCCCTCACAATAATCATTCAAATGACGGTACTCATACATATCCTCAGGATTGTTGACGGTCTCCATCTCGCGTTTACCTCACATAGCGTGTACTACTATTCCGTAACAAATTTCATGAATCCGCTTGCCTTGACACAGTGTCCATGGTACGTTTCCTATTTATCATAGACAGACTTGCTTCTAAATATGTTTACGTTTCCCAGGAGCTTTGCAGTGGATGTTGTCTTCGGAGTAAGCCTCACTTGTTCTCAGCTGGAGCTCGATCTCAACTCTCGAATCAGGACCTCAGTGAGGTGATAGTGACTGCGTATGTTTCTTACGAGGACTCATCGATGGTTTGTTAATTTGCTTTTGGATACGCAGAATCTTTGCATACAGGATATACAAGTGTGCGTATGCCCTTTGTAAGGCGCAATCTGGATGAGTGGCTTACGAAACGTGCTAGTCAGTGGAAAGCTTTGGGCGTTTATATTTATTGTGAGCCATTGGTCGCTTCAACTCCATAAGGCTAGCTCAAGATGCTCCAGATGCCACCCGCTCTTGTCGGCTTCGGTTAGTCCAGTTCAATTACCACCATTATGGTACTCATGTCGTCATCGTACAGCTGGTGCTTTAGGTACGCACTGCTTTTGGTAGCCGTTTCTACCTCTCCCTACTAATACATCCGTCAGCCATCGGCATATCTGCGTAAGCACATCTCAAACTTCGTGCAATCTTATTGATTGGCAGTAGTCGCGAAGTCCCTGATTATACCGAGTTTAACCACCGATATGCCGTATGCATCTCGCCGCCCTGCCCCTCGTCCTTCATTCTGACATCCGCGAAGTGGATTTGGTATGCTACATTTAGCATTCAGGCCTTCACAGATTGCGCCATCGCGGCTGCGCTCTGCACGATGCTTATCAGGCGTCGCACGGGCTTCAAGCGGTGCGTCACGTCCAGTCTGACATTTTTTGTAGCTTTACCGGCAAACTTAAATCTTTATCCTTGACCTCTGCAGGACCGACTCGCTCATTCGTACGCTCATCCTCTACAGCATAAACACATGCGCATTAACAAGGTGCGTTCCCGAGCGTCTCGCAGGGGTCTCAACGATACTGATCCTTTGCAAAGTTCCGTGGCCATTGCCTCTGTCATCACAGTAAACCCCCCTCTCCATCTATATACACACCGTACAGCTGACATCAGAGCCCACAGTACGCCGCCATGCCGCACAATTTTGTCTTCATCGCCTTTGCCATGGTTCTGCCGAAA